GTGAAGGGACCGCAGGAAGCAGAGCTGCTGAAGAGAAAGCGGCTGCCTCTCTCCAGAAACTTGAGCACGCACACAGCTGAAATTCTGATCTAGCATTGTCAGCTCTCTTTCTATTCAGTGCTTTTCTTAACGCTTCAGCTCCTAGTGTCATAGGATCACATAAAAATCTGTTTCCATTAGAAGGAGAAAATAAAGAGTTTCCTTCATAGTTATGAAGAAAAAATGTTAAATGTTAACCCACGGTTATGCATAACAGCTCAAAACACAACAGGCAAATATACCCCAGGCTTATATAAAATCTGAAGATATTAAAACAGTCTCTCCATTTTTGAATGTTTGGCTTTGCCAATAACTGATGCAAATCACAGCGGGAGCCCAGGATTTTTCAAAGGCATCCAGGCATTGCTCTGTTCAGTGTTGCAACCCTAAAGTCCCATTTTCAAAAGCAATTAAGGCACACTTGAAGATGCAGTTTAGTAATCTAATCTAAATTAAATAGGCTTTGCAATTCAATGCTCCAGACACCTGTAAAATATGTTACTGCAGCCCTAAACACAGGCCTATAGTGCCAATCTCTTACTCCATCCCTTGCAATAGCCAGGTCTGAAACAACTATTTCAGTTTTAAAGCGTAGATAACATTTAAAAAAATAAATTTATCCACCCTTATGCTTATATTAAAGGCCATTTGATTAATCATTATGGTGAGGTAACCATGTCCTGTGTCGAAGACCCCAAATATAGTACCCCCCTCATAGGCATGAAGAGGTTAACTAATTCCCCCCCCCCTCCCTATTTTAGAAAGAGAACCAACATGAGTAGTGCTTGTCACACCCCTGATAAAGCTGTCGGGGCTGGACACTCAGTAGTCTGCAATGCTTGAGTCCTACATTCAAGGAATGTAAGTTTTTAAGTTTCCCCAGTAACTATTCCCTCTAGGTCTTTTTTTCAATAGAGTTTACTCATGGAGGTGGTAAAGCCTCTCTCATATCCCTTTCCAACCTAACTCCATGATCCAATTGCCTAGGCCCTGCGACTAGTATCAGGTACCATAAAATCCCCAGAAGTAGTAGCTTAACTAACCATCCGATTTCCAGTTCACTTGTACAGGCAAATATTATGATACTAGAAGCAAAGAGTAACATAGACTTGCAAACATTCCCAAGCCATTCACTCTTTACTTTAGATAGCACAAAAATATCCAGATCTAGACAAAATTATATGATGTATATATAGGTATGTAACTCCCTGCCCCGGTTATCTCACCACTGAAGCATTTTGTGGGTTTAGGTCAGAGTTCACATCCAGAATCCTTCCTCTGCTGCATATGGCTTCTCTTCTGAATCATGGAGCCTTTCCTTCCTTCTCTGACCCCTGCAGTCAGTGCCATTCCTATCTCCAAAATGACTGGTCTGATACATTTTCTTTTATAACCTTTATTCCTCTTTGTCAGGTGACTCTTTGATCAGCTTCATTAGGGGATCTATTGCCTAGTTACTTCCTCTCTGGAGTTCAAATTTGAAAAAAAAATGCTTTGACCTGGAAAGAAGTCCAACATTTTCTCCAAGAAAGCTTTCATGTGAAAGAACAACCAAAAAGATATATTGATACTTCATTGTTAGCTCTGTCATCCACCTAGGAATTTCAGTCAAAAGCAGAAGAAAGAGACAGAGAAGGCAAATAAGTCCCACATTCAAAATAGAGTTTGCAATCTGGCACATTCAGGTACAGAGTCCTCTAAATCAGAACAAATTCATAAACTGTATCTAGATAACTCTTCACATTCTCACACTTAATAAACTATCTCTTGACTGGCTGCTTAAAATATAACATTCACAATAAAAATAAAGAAAAACAAATAAAACCCTTCTACTCGGAATATACTTTTTTTTTTTTTTTTTCAAACAATTATTATATTCCACATTGTCTCTTTATATCTGCTCTTATTTATTTAGGTCCAGCTCCTCCTGTTTTCTGTTCCTTGACCAACTAAGAGGTATATTGGGGAAAAAAACAAAATGCTAAAGTGAATGTATGGTATTCCCCTTCCAGCTTGCATTGTGCTTCAGGAAAGGCCTTTGAAGGATGGGTGAGTAAGCTTCCCACACTGAAAAAGAAGGGAAGAGGAAGAACGAAAGCAACATATTTTAATTCCCCTGATTCCAGCTGACAGTTCCTCTGATTCCTGTGCTTGTTATTGTCACCAATATAATGGTAGCAATGTCAGAAGCTCATTGAGCTGAAAGCTTACTGAGTTGAAAGATGGGGAGCTGCTGTAATTGTTTAAGATAGAGGATATCTGACCCTAATTCTTTTGGAGTCAGTAAAAAATCTCTCAACATAACACAATCCACATTAGGAACATACCCAGTGTAAGTTGTTTTGAAAGTTTCTTGACAGATTAACAAGTCTCTTAGAAGGATGTTGTAAATTAGATATGAGGCCTTCCATTCTTCATTTATACTGGCAACAGCTGTACAGCTTGTCATTGCATTTTTAGATTTTTTAATTGTAATTTAAAAGCTTTTAGAATTCACTTATTTACTTATCTATAGGTTGCATGGACCATGGCCTCAGATATGTTTATACAGCACTTAGAACAGTGTTCCCCAAATTTTTGATACCTGGGACACACTTTTTTGGACTAAAATTGGTAGCACCCTTGGAAAAAACAAACCTTTTCAGGTATAAAACACAACATATTCTATGCCCCTACCAGTGCTGAGATGTACTGCTAAAAAGCAATGCCAAGTATATCTTTCTTTAAACAAAGTATTAGTCTCTATATCAGTGGTTCTCAACCTTTTCAGCCACAAGGCCCCACCTCCATAACTTTTTAAAAAATTTTGTAGCTTCCCAATTGAAAAATCACTGAGATGGATCTAAATTCAGAAGAGACGTGGAGGGAGCCTTGAGGCTTTAAAAAACAAAAATCGAAAATCACTGGCTTAGTTTGTGTCACTTAAGGGGCAGGAAGGCAGGACCTCACCCTTCTCTACCCTGATCTTTCCACTGTCTGCCCCTTCCAGACTCCTGGTCTGTACCTCAGGAGTACAAACCGCTGCTGAGGCTGCACCTGTAGGGTCCCACACACCAGCACCAACCCCATGACTGCTCCTGCCAGCCCCAGGAGCATGGGAGGAGTGCAGGGGACAAGCCAAGCTGCAAAGCATGGCTCTGTGCATCCACTTGCTTGCTTGCAGCAGAGTGCGCTGTTGGGAGCTAGGGGAGAGGGCAGCATAGGAGCTGCCTGTCATGGGGAAGGCAGCAAGAGCAGCCACTAGGCACCACTCACTAAGTATCTGGAGCAAGCCCAGAGTGCTGGATAGGGGAGAATAGTATTCACCTCCTCCCACAGGTACAGCAGTGTGTTGCAGCACACCCTTTGGGAATCACTGTCTTGGAGAACAATGAGGCCTTGATTTTGATGGGGGGTTCTGGCACTGCCATAGTATAAATATTTACACGTATAGTTTGACTTCTTTGTTAAAGTTGAGATGTATCATAATGCAGACAAATGAGGGAATTGAATTAAATTTTCACAGGCAGTTGTTAACAGATCCATCTATAAAAAAAAATAGTTCCTTGATTTACTTGTAGCCACAGTTTCCATGGGTGCACAAATAACATATAAGCATGTTACAAAAACTCTGTACTGAAACAGCCATATACTTTCATATTCGCATATGTTGTTTCTCTCACTCTGGTTTCATCTAGGATCTTTCTACTGAAGCGTGGAATAATCTGAGATTCTTCTTGTGTACCTGAGCTCATCAGTTCTAATTTTTGATCACTTTTTAATTTTGTTTCATCTTTGTGGATTCTCAACATAATTGCTCACTGTAAGACATCTCATTCATCCTCTCAAACATGTTTTCTTCCACCGTCCATTTCATTTTCCTCATCTGACTGACACCCTTGGTCACAAGACTTCCAAGTCATGTATCCTTCCCTTGTAAAGTTCTTAGATAAGAGTCATGAATTATTATTATTAAAGGGTCAGCTGTAGAGCCCTTGGGAATATTTTACAGCCTAGGAAAAATCCTTTCCATATAAAAGTGTTGTTCACCGGATAGGGCAGGTACAATGTCAGCCAAGGGTCTCAAGCCCTAGAACTTAATTTCTTATTGTATCTAGGCATATGCGTAAAGAAATATGACAGAAAATGGTCATTAAAACAGAAGGCATGAAAAAAAACCAGCAGCAAAAACTATAGTACATTTATAGACATAAACTTTTAAAATATTTTTCTTCCAGAGGAATGAGAAAGGAAAATAAAAAGCCAAAGGAATATTTCTGTACAGGGATTGCATGCCCTTCCTCAGAGATAAATCAGGATTTGATGAATCTTCAGTTGGTTATTTCCACATGTGACTTCTGCTCACAAGCTGGGATTTAGCTTTTTTTGTATGGACAGGGTGTTGTTGTTGGTTTGCCCTTTTTTAAAAAACAAAACAAAAAAAAAAGAAATGCAGGGCTGTAATTGGTTAGCCCAATTTGCTGTACTATTTAATTAGAAAATATCCAGCAAACAGACTTAGCCAAAGAATGTTAAGCCAAAACACAGCTTTTTCTAAAAAGGGTGAATGGGATATTGCTCTTAATACCATTTCACTTTTATTTTTATGTTTTCTGGCAATAATTAAAAGCTAACGTTAGGAATCTATTTAGTTCCTAAACTTTTATAGACTTATTGTCTTTATTTTCAGCTGGATGACTCTCTCATTCCTCCCTCACTCAGAGACATGAGACTATGGTTAGAGGACCTAGAGCCAACTGTTCTGTTAGTCATCATGGCTGAAATCCTGGTATTCTCCACCATGTTACACAACTACTTCAGCACTAGTAGCATTGCAGCTGCTAACACATTTACTCCTCACCCAAGGTCACACAGTGCAGGGTGCACAACTATGTGGAGGACAGTGGTGATCTGTGAGTTATTGCCAAGTGCCAGGAGTGTGGTCAGTGCTGTATCTAACAGAAAAAGATGCTGACACCTACCTCCCAAGAGCTTAAAGACTGCGAGATGTAAAGTTCAGCATGGATCTCGATTCTCCCTCCTTCCACTTGTATTACTAACTAAACTACTGCAGCTTTATAGCATTAGTAACCCACATATGGATAGAGACATGGTGAGAAGGGCTGATCTAAATAGATTATATTTGTATGGAAGAAAAGTTGCAGGGTAAAGATACTTCTCTACTATGCTTAATTGTCTATTTCTAAGGACTCAAGGGAATTTTTACTCATATCTCATCTCCTTCTTTCCAAATTAATTCCTGGCTGAAAGCTGAAAAGTCACAGAATGGACAGGACAGTCTTCTTTCCATGCCAGTTACTTAGCAGGGAAAAGCTTTCATACAGATCTACACAATGACTCCCAGACTACCAAGGGAGTTATTCTTTTCCCTTATGTTGCCCTGCAGCATCTCAAAGGCCCTGTGCTAAAACAGACTGGTAGGTCTGCTATAGTGAAAGTTTATCTGTACTTTCTATTTAAAGATTAACTATTCTAAGTGCTCTAAAATGTGTGTACTTACTCAGATTGCCTTGAAATTCTCTCTCTCTCAAGGGGTTTGGGTATGGCTATTGATCCAATTTGAGATAATTTTTGAGTCAGGGATTCCAGAGTTACAGCTGGCTCTTATAATGGTTTTTTTTTTGCATGCACCTGGAACTCAAGCCATGTCTATAATCATCCCCCAGCTGATTTAAGTCCTTTGTCATTTATCTCAGCTAATGCAGAACAGCCACTCGCCATTTGGAAAAGCAATGTTACTGACCTTACAATTTACATCTCTAGAATAGCACATACCAAAAACCATGAGCCAAACAGACTGAAATATTACATGTGCAACAACACTAAGGTAAAAAGGTTTTTTGTTGTTTTTTTTTTAAACCTGCTGTGACAGTAATAGGGATGTGTCCACATTATGATTGACAGTGCTCAGAAACCCCCGGCAAGAATGTAAGTCCCACCCACTCATCCCCGCTCCAAGAACACCTGTGTGAAAAAATGTTACATTCAGCACTACTGTCATGGAAGCAGCCACAAGCCATTTTTACAGAGCAGGAGCAAGTGGGCAGAGCTTGGTTTTTCTAGCAGAGATCCCAAGCACTGTTCAACAGTGTAGTCACATCCTGAATATCTTGAGGAGACATGTTGCGATGACCACCGAATCTGTGCTACTCCTTTTCACCATTAGTATGTGTACCAGCACAATGCAATCAGTAAGTGTCAGTGGTACCCAAGCTGGCTTGGGCAGAATAAGCAATATAACTGTGTCAGCCAGCTCACAATAATAATTAGCCTATACAGAATACCATACTAATACAACTCTACTGCTTCCAGTACCTGGAAGCCTTGAATGATCAAGCTCAGTTATCTCTACAGATCCCTATTCTTGGCTGAAATCTGTGAATGATTAGCAGGCATGTTGCTACCAAATACTCCCATCAGCTACTTTTATATTTTTTACAAATGTTCCCTGAACAGTATGCTCATTTAAAAGAGGTCTAACTATTTTTTGAAGGGTAATATATTACATGTGCCTTACACAGATTGAAAATTATTGCTGGGCACATTGTTATGTTTCCACCTGAGGAAGTATTATTGTAGGGCAGTGGTGCTGATAAGTTGATTGACTATAGGAAACATAAAGGAAAATTAGGATAATTAAATCATGTTTCCTGAAGAATAAGACCACATTTGCTTAAAGGGCAAGGATATCTGAAACACTTCCCCCAAAACAAGGGGTTCATACATTTTAGCTTCTGAGTTCTTTTCTCTTGTCTCTCACATTCCAGTTAAACTTCCCACCTAACCTATTTGCCGAAAGCTCCCTACTGCTGTCATTGCATTTTCCTCTTTTCCTTTTCAACTACTGCCGACCTTTCTGCACTAACATTGTCTCCTTTTTTCTCAAAAATAGTTGCTGGCAAGAAGTTTCCCTCTTCAAATGGACTGTTACATATGCCCCTCCTCCATCACCCCAACTTTGCTCAGCTACAGCTTGCTGGTTCAGACGCACACAGCATGTGGTTAGGTGGCCTGAAAACAGCTATACCAGTATCTCTTACTTCAGTCCAAATCCCTTTGTCACCTGAGTACCACAGTAACAACAGCAACTCTCTTTGCAGGTCTGTTCTGAATCAGGATGTACTTAGGTCTGGAAGCTGACGTTTTGATTCCTACCTGATAGAAATAGATCAAGCTTCAAATTGAACTTCTTTCCCTCCTTGTCTGGCCCTTCTTTTTGCAATTGGGTCTAACTGCCCTTCCTCCACCCACACTCAGGGTTACTAGGGGCTGCTGGTTTGTCTTCTTAGGTATTTTCTCACTCAGCATGTCTTTATCTAGCTCTTTGCCTGGCCTGCTCACTCCTCTGTTTCCCCTGCCATTCTTACTCTCCCTCCTGGTGGTTCTTTTCACATGCTTTACCTGATTCCCTAATTAGTCGTCCCTCCACCAACCATCATCTCATGAGTTCCAGTTGCTGCCATAGCACTTTGCCTAGAGCTCTCCAGCTCTCCACAGCTGCCATGGACCACACTGGCAGAGCCACCCCACAAAGACCTCTCATTGTGCAAGGAAAATTCTTTCCACAGAGCCTGTTACACAAATCCCAGTCTCACTCACGCACCCCAAACTTCCCACCATCCAGTAAAGATACTAAGATATTGATATAATGAAGCCCATGTCTCATCTCTGTCTCCAAGTATCAGACTTTGCAAGTGATTTTAATAGACATTTTCCTGCTCTAGACTCCATCTTGTCTCATCACAGGCCTTGATTTACAGTCATGTCAGGCAGCTGTACCTCTGCCAGTGCAACACCACTTGTTACATAAAATGTATTGAAATGATAGTAATTTGAAATGTATTGTATTTGTCAGACGCCAAGTTACTTGAGGCAGATTCCCCTCCTTGCCCCCATCACTGGCACCACTAGTAGGATCTCCATTCCAGCACCATATCAAGTGAAACCACAGCAAGTTCTTCAGCCCTTATTTAATTAAATGCGAAGCACTTGGCCAGATCCCTGTCACTTGCATATTAGAACACAAACACAGATTATGCAGGCAGGGGAGGCTCTGGAGCACAAACACTATATAACCAGATCAAAGTTTAAGAAATTGAATGAGGGACTGGAATAAGAGGAACAGCCAAAAAGGATTAGTATAAAGGGAGGAAGGGGAGTAGGACAAAAGTTAGTAGAGAAAGTAGACACTGAAAAGGTTTGGTAAGAAGCAACAATGAAACCATGAAGTGGGCATAAACTAAAAAGAAAAGTTTAATAATTTTTAAGAGAATATGAAGAAATAATTCAGTTATACACGAGCAGGGCTGCAATGTTTCTGTAACACAGGGCCCAGAATATGTAATATATTCCCTGCAACTGATTCACAGAGAACTTAGGTATGTTATGCCTTTCTGGTTAGATCTATGTTTGAAGGTATATGCCATTAGCTGTGGGAAAAGCAAGAAGATTGAATTGGGACAGCAAAGTAAAAGTAGTAAAAACCTCCACACTCTTGAGATGGGGTCCCATTTATCTGCAACTCAAAAGCTAAGCATCAGTGCTCAGCTGTTCCATTTTTTATGCATCTTTCAGTATGGGTAAAGGAAATAAATGTTGATTGGGACCAAAAAATACCACCCCTCCCCCAATTACAACCTGCTTCTGCACAAAATAGTTTGAGGGTCTTGCATCAAAGCACAAGTAATTGAAAAGAGGCTGGATTTCTCTCTTCATAATACTGATATTTCTGAAGTTTAAATGACTGAGGCCTGAGTTGGCTGCACTTGGCAAATCTCCACATGGGGATCTTTTGTATCTGTATAAGCACAGCTTTGGAGATCTGTGCGCCCAAGGTCCACGTGGCAATTGAGATTATATAACGAGGGGAAGAAAATCTCATGGTTAGCTCCTAGGAACGTCCTAGAAGCTGAGTGACAGTTTTGCTTCTCACAAGGTTCGGAAGGTAATATCCTTCAGCTAACAAATTTGTAAAACAGCAATTTCCTTTTTGGACCTTATGGAGGATCAAAGTTAAATACAGATTTGATAAAACACACCATTTGGGATATTGGTGAAGGGCTTTGGTAAGACACAACAGCCCCTAGGCCTTGTGAGGAATGCTAAAAATTAAGCAAGCCATAACAGACTTTTTTCAAGCAGCTAATGGATACAGAGCTAAGAGGAACTAGCTCATATATTTGTTTTACTTCACCTATTCCAATACAGTTCTTCCAGCAAATGCTCTATCGGCTCTGGATTTCTAGACCTGTAGAAGACTCGATTTCTAGACTTGGCAAGCCAATGTAAACACCTGTGCTCCATCTTAAAAATGATTTAAAAACAGCAAACCACATTACTTTTGAAACAAGCATTTCATTTATGAGTCTAAAACCCATATCTTTGGATGTGCTAACCAGATTCTCAGGATCATTTGGATAAAGACAATGCTTTACTTTACAAAGATTTGAACATATTAAAACCTGACACTATTTTGGAGGACTGCTCATTCTGTTTTGTTGATCTAAATTATTTTTTAGCACATGATACTGATTTTTAATACTTCTAACATTCTGAATCTTTTGTTTCAAATGTGCACCCTTCCCCCACTTCAGCTATTATTCTTACAACACCCATAGGTGTGCTAATCCCTTTACAGTAGAAACTTAAATTTTTGTTTTGGTTTGGTTTGTTTTTTTTTAACTATGGTCTTTCTATAGTCTGGATGAAGGAGGCTCTTTCTTAGACTCCCTTCTCCTACCACAGCTAATATTTGTGGTAGTAACAACCCTGGTATAGACAAAGCTCTAGTGTTTTAATCTCTATGTTGCCTAAATCTGCTTAGAGCAGGTGTGCATGACAGCAGTAAAAAAATCAGATGATACTTCTGTCTTTTCCACACCGGACTCAAGTGGCTCTGAAAGGGAGGTAGTAACAGGAAATGTTACAAGAGGAAAAAAACCTCCTGTTGATAGGCTTTTGGCTATCTACCTTGCTAATATAGACAAGTAAGGGGATCTGCTTTTCCCTAAGCCTACTTAAGGTCTACTTGCAGTTTATACTGTAAGCTGAACCTTAAGCAGCTTTCAACACGAAATGGCTTTTGTAAGGGAGCAGAGCTAATTGATCTTTATGAGAGGGGCAAACACCAGGTGAAAGGTACAAATGGATTAATTAATTTTATATCCATCACACCTATGTAAAGTTGTGTTTGTGCTCAGAGGAACTGTAGATTACAAAATGATCTGGTGGAATTTGTGGCACTTTATCCATGGGTCCAAAAGAGAGGGACTAAGTGACTTACTCAAGTGTACAGCACATTAATAGCAGTGCTGGGAACCTGGATCTCCCAGGTTCCAGGTGAGCAACTTTACCACTGGACCATCCTTCCCTCCTGCATAGAGGTGACCGAGTGATTTGAGAGGCAGTAGTTGCAGTAATTGCTGGTGAGTGGAGAGCAGCAGGAGTAGGACTGACTGATTTTGGAGGAGAGAATAAATTGGAAAGAGAAATATTGAGTGAGGCAGAAGGAAAAGAGGAGAGTTTACAACTGAGGGGGTAAGAGGGACAAAATGCAGAGGAACAATGAGTCAGGAGAGGGTGAACTGGTGTGAGTGGGACCAGAAGAGAGAACAAGGCACAGCAGAATGCAGGAGGATGCTGGACTGAATTTAGGAGAGTGACAGATTGACTGAAGAAAGTAAATAGAGCTTGGGATGAGGTGGCTGTCCATTCAGGTTGTCATTCTGCACAAATTAAAAAATACAAGGGACCACAAGTGACAAGGGAAGTAGGGGGCAGGCAAGATGACATGCCATCGCAGCATAATAAAATGCAGCCTCCTTATTGCTAACTGAAATATAGCACTCTCTCTTACTGGTTTGAGGCTCTTCCTCCTCTTTTTTGCAGACCAAGTTTTCAGAACTTTGACAGCAAGATGGGAAAACATGATGTTGTTTACTAGGCAAGGCATTCCCTGGAAATAACAGGTGTGGGATGAGCCTTACAACCTTTGGTGGCCTTTTAACATTCCTTTCAAAGTGAGTTGTGTCTCTGGTAATACTTCATGCATTCTCTACACTCCTCTTAAAGGAAAGCTGCCCAAGGGGAGCTGATGGGGTGGATCCAAGAGCTGCAGAATTAATCTTGGATGAGACTGAATGAGCACACAGCATCCTGGGCTGAAACTGGAACATCTCCATATCATTTCCCTGATGCAACACCACCAAATACTCCTGCTGGTGAAGGACAGTAGGTCTTGCAGAGAGTGCAAGTTGTCACTTACCATACAATGTCTCCTTAATGAGGATCGGATGTTTGTGGAGGATAGGAACAGGAAACTGGTCTGAAAGAGTTCATAGATGGGCTATGCTGCAAAAAAAGGAAAGCATTTGGAAGGCACAAAAAGAGCAGGAAGTTAGAAAGGAAGGGAGCAAGGAGTAGTGGGCTGGCTAGAAATAGAGGTTTGTTGTTAGGCTGTACAGCTGGGATGAAAATGAGTAAGCTCTAGAGTACATCCAAATTTCCAGGCATGACTCCTCACTAGGGAGACAGGAAAAAAGCACTGCTGTAATCCTTCCCACCTCAAGGACACCTCGCTGAGCAGTATTAGAACTTCCAGTTCCTCTGTGATTAACTTAGTCTAGTCTCTCCTTCCCTATTTTAACATCAAGCCTCCATGCTGGGACCACAGCACTGCTACTGCCCTTCTATTTATCTATGACAAGCTGTAAACGTCATGGACATCATATCAACTGCAGTGACATGGTCATGAAGATCACACTCGCCCTGTCAGGTACTGCTGAAAGGTTTGGGTGCTAGTATAGTATCATTTGTCCAAAAGCCTGGGAATCACAGCACCAATGCATACTACATTTGATCTAATTGGCAAAAGCTGCTTGTGCCTGCCAGCATGTCATTGGCTGTCATAATTAAAAACAGAATGCGTTTCAAGGTTTCAGATCATCTCATATCTTGCAGCTGAGTGACTGGCTGACCAGGTATGTTCACTCGATGCCCAACTGATGTAAACAATGCCTCCCCAGCTGCCTCTGCTGAGACTTTCCAGGGAACTCCTGAAGTATTCACTTTTCATTAAGCTTGGCAGTATTTGGGAGGAATGATGGCTTTTTTATTGCTATATATGACCTTCATTTTTATTTTTAAGCCAAAGAATAAAAGAAGTTCCACATGCAAACAGATTCCCCTTCACAAGGCCTTTGCTACAGGTTGGCCACAGTACAACACAGTGTAATTTTTTCAAGTCAATTAGAAGAGATTTTTGGAAAGCTTTCAATAAAAAAACCCCACAGACAACTTGGAACTTCCTCAGTTACCGAAATGACCACCCCCCCCAAACTCCCCCCCAAAAAAAACTAGCTGTCATGCAGCACCAAGTTCTTTTAAAGTGGAGGACCCTCCCCCCGCCAAAGTCAGTCCTACAAATTGGAAAAGCCGTATAATTCAGACAGCTAAAGTCATAGCACTTAAGAGCGATCAAACACAGTTGTCCATATACACCAGTGTTTGCTCTTATAAAGCAAGGGCTGTGTAAATGACACACAATCTTCATAATCTCTTAAATAAGGAAACTTGGGAGACAAAAAGAAAGGAAAAGAGGACTCTTCCAAGTTAGAACTGTGGCAAATAATGGCCCTTAATAATTTTTCCATCTGAATCCACTAAACCTTTGTCCATTTTATGAGAGGACTTCACACTAAAATTTATGGTTTTGTTCTAATCATAAAATCCTTGAAAGGCAACAAACGATTTTACTAGATCAAACAAACAAACAAACAAACGGTATCAGCCTTTTCTCCAATATTTATAAATTCCTCTTTGAACATATGCACATAGCTTGGAAACATCTCTACTTGTCTCTCTGAATAGAAATTATGGTTTTAAATTGTATTTTGATAAAGATGAGCAATAAGGACTATGAGCATTTGCCATCTCTCCTTAGAAAGCTTGTCAACATTTTCAAACTCAGATGCCAACTTTAGACCCTCGGTTTCATTTTTAGGTAGCTAATAATGATGTCCTGATGCTTCAGAGGCTCTGAATACTTACAGCTATCAGTGGTAAGAAGGCTGCAGAGGCTCAGCATCTCTGAAAATCAGGTCATCACCTTGGGGGAGTGGGGAGTGACGTGGGTAGGGGAGTGTGTGCATTTAGTTCCTAAACTTTAGGTACGTGACTTTGAAAATGATGGCTTTCTGTTCTCCAGAAACACAAGGAGAATCTAAAATTTTGTCTGTGATCTGTTAATCTTTAAAAAAAGAACATTAGAGTTCATATCCATATTGATTCAGATCTCCAACCTCATCCATCATCTCATCTTCCACAGAACCCTTCCATTTCTCTTCTAATGTTTTAAAAGTTTCAGTTTTGGCTCGGTTAGTTTTATTGTTTTTTTCTAGCAACCCATTTACATTGATCATTATAGCAGAAATATTTTGAGACTGTCCATTTCAGTTTTTATGAATTCACAAAATTGATTTACAGTTTAGAGTAGCAGCAAATTTAGAGCTATTCCAGTTTTATCCCCCTTGTCTTCCAGCTCTGACATCTGTGGACTCACCTGCATATAGAAGTTGCATGAATATAATGTGGATCATCTTTAAAATTAATTTCACAATTCACATTGAGATGCAATGAATTCGGTATCTTCATTAATGATCTGGAAGATGGAATGGATTGCACCCTCAGCAAGTTAATGGATGACACTAAGATGGGAGCTGTGGTAGATACACAGGAGGGTAGAGCTAGGATTCAGAGTGACCTAGACTTGGAGGATTGGACCAAAATAAATCTCATGAAGTTCAACAAGGACATGTGCAAAGTTCTGCACTTAGGACAGAAGAATCCCATGCACTGGTACAGGCTGGGGGCTGACTGGCTAAGCAGCAGCTCTGCAGAAAAGGACCTGCGGGTTACAGTGGGCAGTAAAATGGATACGAGTCAGCCTTGTGCCGTTGTTGCCAAGAAGGCTAACAGCATACTGGGCTGCATTAGTAGGAGAGTTGCCAACAGATGAAGGGAAGTAATTATTCTACTCTATTCTGCACTGGTAAGGCCACATCTGGAGTACTGTGTCCAGTTTTGGGTCTCCCACTATAGAAAGGATGTGGACAGCACCATACCTAGACTCCTGGTGGCCCTGGGTGAACTTTTAGAATTGGGCCCCCTTTTGCCAGAGATGATGATAATAATTTTAAAAATACTATTTTTGGGCCCCCTTTCTATCCGGGCCCCAGGCGGCTGCCTGGCTCACCCATGCCTGTGTCCAGCTCTGGATGTGGACAAGATGGAAAGAGTCCAGCAGAGAGCAATAAAAATGGTTAGGGGCCTGGAGCACACGACTTATGACAAGAGGCTGAGAGAACTGGGTTTATTTAGTCTGTGGAAGAGAAGACTGAGGGGAGGATTTGATAGCAGCCTTCAACTACCTGAAGGGTGGTTCCAAAGAGGCTGGAGCTGGACTGTTCTCAGTAGTGGCAGATCTCAGAACAAAGAGCAATGGGCTCAAGCTGGAGCAAGAGAGGTTTAGGTTGGATATTAGGAAAAAAGTTCTTGCTAGGAGGGTGGTGGAACATGTTACCTAGAGATGTGGTAGAATCTCCATGCTGGGGGGGTGGTAAAATTCCTTACTGTTAGAATAGCAGGACAGTGGAACAAGCTACCTGGGAAAGTTGTGGAATCTCCTTCTGTAGAGGTTTGCAAGAAGAGGCTGGATTGGCATTTGTCTAGGATTGTAAAGGAATTGGACTACTGGGTGTCAGACTAGGTGCCTCGAGGTCCCCTTTCAACTCTGCACTTCTCTAAATGTCTAACTGCTTCAGTCAGTGCTGGCTGCTGCTGGGTTTCCAGCATTTTTTTTGCATAGGCTGCACATCACTCACTTCTGGTACAATTGTCTTTAAAAAAAACCCAACACACAGGTGGGACCTGGCAGAAGATGAGGTCTGAAAACCTGAGAAGGTTAACATTTTGCAGCTGTGCTGAGTGGGACATTAGCAGGCTTAGATAAAGTTAAGGAAACATCTTGATGCACAGGTACTTAATTGTGAGAGGCTGGTGTTTCATAAGATGAGGATAATGTACATATATAACAGGGTTTTTATTGCTACAGCATGCAATCACAAGCAATTTATAGCCCATGAAAATACAAGTCCCAGCAAATATTTTGACATTTGTGGGTCAAACTACACGGACAAGTTAATAAACTGTATGAACAAGTTAAATGCATACAGATGGGCTCCTGACAGGCTGTCAGCAAAATTCAGGGGTACAGAAAGTCACCTCCGGGCACCGTAGCTCGGCTCCTAACATCAGCTTTCTTTAGCATTTTCCAGAGGTTCGCTAGTTCCCCGAGCAGCTTCTTTTGAAACCTTTGTGAGGAACACTACTGACACCCCACGGTCACTTGCAAGAATGGCAAGTAGATGAACCATAGATAAACGATTGGTTAAGTGTTGTCTTGGGAGCCATGGTTCCTTGCTTTTAGTGTGTCCCTTCTGGATGACTGTCGACATTTATGACAGGACCAGCTCCTGCTTGTTTGTAGGATTCTTGATCTGGCAGAGATTTTGTAAAGCAGGATGTCCAATAAATGAGATGACCGAGTTCTGATTTGACAGAGCAGAGCAATATAAAATGTGAGGGGGAAGCAAAACAATCAGATAGCAGCGAGATATTCATTAACAATGTGTGTGGGGTGGGCAGGAGGGGGAAAGGGGAAGTATCACCAAATACAATCTTGCAATTTTATTTAGAGGCCTATTCATTCTAGTTTTGTTTGTTTGTTTTAAGGCCTCATATCCTGGATGCCCACGAGAATCTCAACTTCCATTTTAATCCCCTGTGCTTAAATAGGAAAGCTTGAAAATGAGACTCAAGTTGACCCTAAGGACTCAGGAGTTCAGACAGTATATGAACACCACCACAAAATAGTCTGGTTTAAAAAAAAAAAAGGGAGGGGGCAGGGGGGAAAGTTCTTCTGGTTTTAATCCAATCTCTTTCAGGGCTCTCCTAACAAGATGAATGGCCTTCTTTAGACTTGGTTTTCAACCTTGACAAGGCAACATGTGAAAGGAGCTGGGTAGCTTTTAGTTGTATATTCAACTCTTTCTGCATAGTGTTTTGCTCAGAAGTGGTCTGGAGAATTGACTCTCACTGCCTTACATGCAAGGTGGCTTACAGCTGCAATAGCACAAAATGGCATTGGCATTCCTTGAGGTACACTGGAACAGCTGCATAAGAAGGGCTCAGCAGGAGTGGCTTCAGGTCAGCACTGGGAGAAAGAGAGCCAAGAGGCAAGCTAGCACAGAATCTGCTAGTGCTTGAGCTTGGTTCTTCTCAAGGGTATTAGTTCCTCACCTCCTTGGACACCCAAATTCATCCTAAAACAAACAGGTGTGTTTAACATTAAGAAGCTTTTTTCTTCAGCACAGCTATTTTTTATTATTTGAATTTTGAAAATGCAAAATAGCTTTAGCCATGATATGCAGGACCAAAACAGAACAAATAGACAGTCCCTGCCTGAAAGAACTTATCCTCTGAAGTACAGACAGAATGGTATGGTGCTTATGCCACAGACCCTTTTCCTTCTGCGTGACCCTGCAATAGGAGGGGGACTGACTTTCTTCAGATTGCTAATGTGTTCCCAGCTCCACAGGCCCAGTGCTCTTTTTAATCATCCAGCACTTCCAGCCTCTGTTGATCTAAGGAACAAAAGATCTAAGAGTCACTTGGATATTTAAATTTGAGTGAATGTACTCAACAGAACCAATTTAGGCCTAGGGGTAACATTCTTGGTAGCACTAAGAGCAGACTCCAAATCAAACACAGAATGGAAGAGAGCTTAAGCGAAGATAGACAGGTTGTAAAAAACCTGTTATCTGGGTTTTGTACCTCTGCAGCAGTGGTAAAAAACTCAGCATACTCCAGACCTGGAAGTTCTCCAATGAGAGCTTCTAACTCATTCCCAGCATTTACTCACTGAGGACTAAGGGTGCCAGAAAGAGGTGATGCCTGAGGCATAACAGTTAGACTACTTCCCTAGAAAGTGGGAGAGTCGGCTTCAGTTTTCTCATCAGGATGACAACACAGCCCCCATTTCCTAGGCTAGGGTCAGGCATGGGCAGTCTCCAGCCCTCTCGTTGAAGCTGTGCTGCTGTTCAGAAAATAATTCAAGAGTTACTGGGCCACAAAGACCCAAGGCTTAGAGCCAGCCTGACTCTATAACCTAGTGGCTAGAGCACATAGTCCAGTCTTTGCAGCTAGGACTATTTCTATTTTTTACATTAGGCAGTCATTGGGTAGAATACAGAAACTGCCCTGGGAGCAACACCCCTTTCCTAAATGAGTGCCCCAACCACAGGTCTACAGAACCATATGTCCTCTTTCTGGCCCAGTGAATCCTGAATTCTTTATAAAACCCAACTTCAACAGGAGGAGTGGGGAGAGCTGAAGTACTCTCCAACTCCAAATAGCCTGTAGTTAGAGCACTTTCCTGGGAGGCAGAGATGGGTTTGAACCCTCTCAGGTCGAGGAGAAAATTAAACTCGAGTCTTCCACTTTCTGAATGGATGCACTTTCCACTAGGTTATGATGTGACAGGTGGGTGCTGGCAGCCCCCTTGGAGCACATTATGACAAAAGGGAGTAGCTACAGATGCAATGTGTGAGGTGCCCAATCCTTTCACTGTGCTTGGGTATACTCCAAAAACATCCCCCCTATCAAGCCCCTCAGGGAACTCAGGTGGAGGAACTCCTGGATTCTGAATTTCAGCTGTGCTTAGGTGAGAGAGAGGTGCCAATTTGCTTACTCTGGAGCAGTTCTGGCATGCACAGAAGAAGTGTAAATGCCTAAAAGACTTCAGAATCAGTTAGGAGCTGCCTAATGAGTCTAGGTAGCAGATGGAGGAAGGGGAGGGGGGAGGCATTAGATACCAGTGAGACGGATCTCAATTTTTTTCTGCCTAAACCCTCCTTTGGGCACCCAGGTCCTTTACTAGATCTAGCCTTTCATGTGCACTTGTGTTTGTCTGTGGGGCTAAGAATTCTTTCACTGAACAAAACAGGAGGCCGAGAAGAAGCTCCTCTTTTCAGCTCACTGCTGATCCCACAAAAGAAGCTCAAGCTCAGATTGCCTTTATTGGAAACCATCTGGACTTCCCTCTGCTCATATGCTTGGGTAACCTTTGGTGGACTGGCCTGCAGGAAGACAGTTGTGATAATCTGTAGTAGGTCAAAAGTTCTGGGGGAATGAGGCTTTTCAAGACGGAGTAAGAAGCCTGTTCTGCATGGACCCTCATCTAATCCAGTAAAACCTGAGCAAAATCTCACACATGCAAGAAGTAAAAGGTTGGTTCTTTTCCTAAATCACTGAGTTATTTGAAACAGATGGTGGTGTCTCAAATCCAGAAATTGATTTTTCTTTTTAAAAAACAGGCTTTCAAGCCCTACAGTCAATTGCGAGTCATCCTAATTAATCCAAAATAAGAAGTTTGCCTTTACCAATGATTACCTTGCTGTTTCATTGGAAAGGAGAGTTGGCTGGATCTTTCTTCTGTGCTCCTGCCCAGCCCCAGCACTATAGAGGCTGAGCACCTAAGCTGAACATCCTCCCAGCAGGCTAGGTCAATTCCCAATCCAATTTCCCTCACAAATGAGCTCTGCCAAGAACAGAGCAGTTTCAGCTCCAGTTGGATTGGGTGGAGCTCCTTATATCATCTTGCCAAATTAACTGCTAATTACAATTTTTCATTTATGTCAATAGGATTTTCCAGGCTTGTTATAAAAATCAAAACCAAAGACATCAAGCAAGGCAAGACAAATTGATCTTAAAGGGGCAGGTCCCTCTGAGACCTCCTTATCTTCAGCAGGTCCCCCTTTCCTAGATACATTTCCAATACTAGCATCCACAGGAGAGTGTGAGCCCGTTTCCAGACTCCTCTCTCCATAGAGGCATGAAGAGCACCTCTCTTTGTATTTATTTTCTACTACAGCTCTGATTCACTTACAGCTGTTGCCTCTGGGGCAGAGAAAAGCTCCAGAAAAGCAGAACTGGGTTCTAGGGAAAGCTGAGATTTGCATTGGAGATCTGTATAATTATTGCTATCAGGATCCATACATAGTGTGTGCCTGGGAGGATTTTATATTCAAGTGAGGCACTAAGCAGCGGAGCCATAACAATGCAGCTGAGTGCCTGGGGCAGCTGCAACAAGGGGCTGGAGGCAATTTCTGTTGCTACAACAGCCACACAATCACGCCAGTGGCACAGCGGCAGCTAGTTTTTTTCCATCCCCCAAGTTGGGGCCCAGAATGGCTGCCCTGGTTGTCCTGCCCTACTTACACTACTATTACACAGGTATTGTAATTGGGTTAGGCAGGCTTACCTGACAAGATGAGCTTCCTGTCATGACAAGCAGCCCATTGCACAGAGCAATCTTGGTCCTTCTTACTGTCCTCTCTGCTTCTGACTGGATGACTCCAAGTTTAGAAGAAGCAGTTTTAGTTACAGTAGGGGGCCGGGCAACAGCCTTATGTTCTAAGCCTTTAAGTAGAGACATAGGAACTCCAGTACTCTCTTGAGCCCCAACCCCACAGAGCTTTTTTGGATGTCCCAGCTGAGCTCATGGCCCTTTTTGCAGATGTCTTGTTTTTCAGCTCTCTTCCTACAGCAAGAAAGTCAGCTGTGCTTGCACTTTGCCAATTAGACTAGCAGCAAAAGCAAGATGTCAGGAATCCTAGTGTAAGCAGCTAGGGAGGGAGAGTCATAACTTAAGTGAACATGAGAGAGAGCCCAGATATAGCAGGTCTACCTCTCCAAGGGGTGAAGGCTGCATCTTCCTTTCCCACCCCCCTGGGCTTAGTTAGCCAGGAAGCATGTAAAATAAAGCCTTGACAATGCATACCAGTTTTCAGGGGGAAAAGAGTTCAGCTGCTGCAGGTGGGACAAGAGAGTGGAGTTACTGGTGTGCCACTGGATCTGGGCCCAAGGGTCTAATAACCTTAGGATAATCCTTAAGAGAACACTACTGCATGTCTCTTGTTCCCGGTTCTGCTAGTGAGTTGCCTGAGCTTTCTGTCTCTAAGCAGCTTCTGAACTCTGCTTGATGCAAAGCCAATAACTTAACAAATAAATGGGTTGAGCTGTTCCAGTCTCAAGCTTGCTGGGACACCTTGCTCTTGAGTTACTGGCAGAGGGAAACCACAGACATCTTACCTGCGTGATGGGATAGGATTCTATGGAGCTCCCTTTGCCCCCCTAGCCTCTGCATCTTGGGGAGGCGCATATAGATCCCTTTGCACCCCTAGCCTCTGCATCTTGGGGAGGCGCATAGGAAGGCAATCAAATTGTTCATTTTAAACAAACCAGCTTCATTCAAGGGACTGTTCATGTGATTTGCACAGCTGGTGGCTCCCTGGGGCCAAATAGAGATGCAAATTAGATGCCAGCTTCATGATGAGGGAACCAGACTGAAGAACACTACCAGACTGGGAGTCCAGGGGAAGAACATGCGTGTAAGGAAACAGTTGGCAAGAATCCTGCAACAGCCCTGTAAATGGTTCAGATTCACACTGTGACTGCAGAGCAGAATAGAGATTGGCTGAAGGACTGAATATAGGACAGACAGGAAGAGGTGAAAGTGTCTGTTCAGGTTGGATGAGTGAGTGTTATTGTCTCATGTGAGAGTCTGGGAGGGTGCTAACCAGCTCAGCGTTAAACTGCAAGTGGATCTTCTGTTATCACAGGAGACTAGGACACTAAAAGTAATTCACTTTCTCATTTGAAATATAAAAGGCTGTTTGCCAGTGACATAAACAGTGTGTATGTTGATTAGAAAAATGGGTGAGCAGTATGTAGTGGGCCAGCTATTAATTTATCACTCAGTGGGGGCGCAAATACATAATTGGGGCTGGATTAGTAGGTACAAGCAGCTTGGGCAACATCAGTTGACCACCTCATCAAACGTCTGGGACTAACTTTGGCCTTCCTTCAGTGAGCATTTTGCTTATAGGATTTCTGCCTTAGTAATTTCTTGCAGGAAATGTAAACCTTGTAGG